GGGGCTAAAGAAGAAGCACATTTAGGTGATGGAGTAGCCTAGCCAGTCTCCGGACCTTAATCCCATAGAACATCTGTGGAGGGAGCTGAAGCTTCCAGATGCCAAGCATCAGCCTCAAAACCTGAAGGATTTGGAGAGGGTCTTCAGAGAGGAGTGGACCAACATCCTTCCTGAGATGTGCACAGACCTGGAGACCAGCTACAAGAAGAGTCTGACCTCTGTGTGTCCAACTAGGGTTTCTCCACCAAGTACTCACACATGCAAGGGGATCAAATACTTATTTCACACAGTTAAATGCAGATACATTTTTATCTTTTATATAATGTCAATTTCTGGATTTTCTTTTTGATATTCTTACCCTCACTGTTAGAATAAACCTACCATAACAATTATAGAATGTAAATTTATTTGTAAGTGGGCAAACTTACAAAGGTATCGTTATGAATATATATGCATATTCCTGTATGCTCATTTCTGTTCAATGCTTCCCTTTTTTAAATTGTATATCCATCTATTGTACATCTTTTTTGTATATGTATTTCTTATTATTTATTTGTAAATCATTCTTACTGTGTTTGTGCATGCACCATCACACACCAAAGCAAATGTATTGTATATTTAAAACCTGATTCTGATTCTAAACAGATTAGCTTATGGAATTGTTGTTACAATATCACATTATATGATAACAAACCAAAATGCATTGCCTACAATACAAGGTGGTCATATCTCAATAAGGAAGTAACTTCAAGATAATTAAAAAAAAAGATTGTTACAAGCAAGAATCAGTTTGTGTTAAAATTATTGTTTATTATTTGATTAGTATTTAGTAAGAGTTTTTATTGTGTAAAAGGAATCTCAAGGTTCAGTTCCTGATACTTCTTGACACAAGGCATTCCCTTACTGATCCACAGATCATATTCCACTGAGCTGATCCACTGAGGGAAATTTACAAAGACACTACGTTTGAAATATTATAGTCAATATGCCTTTGATCCTATACATCTGTAAGGCCATAGAAGTACTGTACTTAAGTACAATTTTGAGGTACTTGTACTTTACTTGAGTATTTCCATTGGATGCTACTGTGTACTTCTACTCCACTACAGTTCAGAGGTACATGGTGTACTTTTCCTCCACTGCATGTATTTAATCCCTTTAGTTACTTTACAGATGTGGATGAATGATGTGAAATATAATCAAGTGTTAAATCAGACTTTAGTTCCACCTGGAGTAAATCCACAAGCTACCCTGCAGTATACAAAGTCATTCAAACTAGCTGCACCATAAAGCTTTGATATTTTGATGCTAATATTTTTCTACTTTTACTTGAGTAACATTTTGAATGCAAGACTTTTACCGGTAACAGAGTATTCTTACACTCTGGTACTTCTACTTTTCCTTAGGTACAATATCTGAGTACTTCTCCCACCTCTGATTCTAAGTCTATATCTCAGTTTGAGTTGTCTTTTGAGTATATCAATTCAGTCTAAGTGAAGAGAACGACATATTTGACATTTCAGACGAGGTCACTCAGGTAAGCACACACACATTTGACTGCACAAAAAACATATGCATTTAATCATAGCCCCATACTTCTCCCTCTCTCTCTCTCTCTTCCACCCACCCACACACACACACACACACACACACACACACATCACACACACACAACACACACACACACACACAACACATCACACACATCACACACACACACACACACACACACACACACACACACACACACACACACACACACACACACACACACACACACACACACACACACACATCCGCTTCTTTTTGAAGACACTTGTAACTCTTTAAGAGGAAGATCTCACTCAGTGTGCAGCCAAAAACACACATTCCTGTTTCCTCCATCCTACTCTCGCAAATAAAAAAGATGTCAATCAGATTTTCATTATTTAAGTAAAACAGTTCAAGAAAATAATATTCAAATATGCAAATACAATGTGGGAACAGCTGGAGGGGTTTAAGGTCAGGGGCTTATTCTACAGAGGTCACCATGCTGTAATCCGATCTGGGATTGGAGGAAGGGCGGAAAAAGGTTTCAAGTCAACTGATCAATAGGTTGTATAGTACTACTAACTGCATTTATATACAGCGTATCTCTCAGTCACACGTTTACATCAAACTGTGTTAATACTCTATTGTGAGCATCTCCTACAACCCTGCTGCTAGTGCTGGGCGGTATACCGCTTCATACCAAATACCGTCAACTTTATACCGTATGATATACATTTTTCATATACCGCAATGCCGTTGAAAAAGTGGCGAAGGGCGCTCTTTCACTGCTGCAGCGATGAAATGTATGCTGGGTACAGCACCAAGCGTAGCAGCAGTAGCATAACATGTGAAGCTGAATGTAAAGATGGACACTGCATAACAGGAGACTGGAGATGGAAACACAAGAAGAACTGAGGAGAGGAGCTGTCTGTCGTCTGGAGGTTTTCTGGATTCCAAAAATCTGACGTGGACCAAATTGAACCAATTATTGCAAATGCCGTTGAACTAAAATTGTTGTGCAAGGAGGTAACACAAGTCATTTACTCCACCACCTCAACAGAAGGCACTTATTGGAGTACAAAGAATGTATGAAGATACGATCTGCTTCAACGAGCATCGCTGGGGAAATGTCTGAAGTAAACTCAAGCATCGCTTGAAGACACATTTGTTCGAGGCACTGCCCATGATAGGAAAAGCAAAGGATGGATTGAGATCACAAACACCATAACATTATATGGTGCGAATTGCACCTTCGACACGTTTAATATTAGTGTTAGTAATTTTTTTGAATAGAGAATAGAATTGTTGCTCCCACTTTGATGCAGTGTAGCATAGTTAATGCACTAGTTAAGCATGTATGTATGTACAGGTATGTTTACGGGGGGGCTTAATGCAGCAGTGGTTCAATCAGAAAAAGTGTCCCCACCACTTTTTCTAACAAAGTGATGCCGATGTACTTCTGTTTTTCTGTCACTCAGTTAGCAAGTCAGTGATCAATAAACAGAATTCAACCACACACACACTCAACTATCCTATAATCTCCACGTGGGGCTGAGCCATCACTTATTGGAGTCTGAACGCTCGTGTAACTTTACCTTTCGATAGTTTGAATGTTTGCTTGGGTGCAGGGTGACTGAGACGAGGGGAATAATGTGAGGGGGAGGCGTGGGGAGGGAGATGGGGAGGGAGAACAGACACAGATCTAATATTGACAACCAGGTCTTTCACTGTACTGAGGTCAGAATAGTACTATCCTGAGGAACGTGGTATTACAATGCAGCAAGAGCCGAGGCTAGTCAGTTAGCATGCTAATGTCCATAGATATCCCTGCAACACAATTCATTGACGTCTTAAACAGAACCGCAACACTTGAACCTTTTCACATTCTGTTGATAATGTTAGCTCATTTTATGTTTAACAGTTTAAATTCTGTAACATATTAAACATTGCAGCCTTAATATGCGAAACAGAAGTGTTGAAATGGGTTGTGGTTTCATAGAAGCATTGCACATTGTGTGGTATAGCTAACATAGCTTTCCTAGCCCCATCCTCACACACTGCCACCTGATACACACACACACACACACACACACACACACACACACACACACACACACACACACACACACACACACACACACACACACACACACACACACACACACACACACACACACACACACACACACACACACACACACACACACACACACACACAGTTAGCCAACTGGGCAACTTCCTTGCACAACTTTCATACCTTAAATGTCTTGCTGCTATGGTTACGGCAGGTGTTGCTAGGTGTGTTGCCAGGTCATGTTGTCAGGGCTTAACCGTGAACACTTCAAGTAAGGCCTGAAAATGTATTTAAATGTAATCCAATATGAAGCTCACCCAAAAGCATATTGTGTGTGTATGTGAGGTCAAAAGATGACTCCCCTCAGATGTCCCCCTGCAGACGTCCTCCCTCAGACGTCCTCCCTCAGATGTCCCCCCTCAGATGTCCCCCCGCAGAGGTCCCCCTGCAGATGTCCCCCCGCAGAAGTCCAGGCGCAGCCCCGATGTTTGTGTCGTGTTACTTGTAACGCTCTGCAGCTCCGATATAGTGTACGTGCTGCTGGTTGGCTTCATCTGAATAAATATACTAACTTGTCAATTATTTAATCTATGCTGCTTCGTATATATAAATGTATAAATAGGAAGGTTGTACTTATACTTGTACAATTATGCCTGATCAATACCCTCACATACCAGCGGCGCCTATAATGTCACAAATCGGCACCACTTAGCATGCTAATTCCAAAAGATATCCCTGCAACACAATTGACGTCTTTGATATAACCCCAACACTGTAACCTGTTAGCTCATCTTTTGTGTTTAACTGTTTCAATTCTGGCATATATTAAACATTGCTCCCTGTTAAATATGTAAAAACAGAAATGTAAAAATGGGTTGTGGTTTATGGGAAATGTATGAGCTGGAACTATGTATTTTCACTTGATGAAAAACAGTTTATTCCTAATAAATAGTTCTGGCACTTAGTGGAACGTGTGGAAGGCAGGCTGGTTTGAATGTACTAAATGTACTACCTTGTCAATGACTTCACCTATGCTGTTTCAGAACAGTGGAAATGTAGCCTACCATATGTATAAATATGGAGGATGTACTTATAATTGTACAATCAGCCTGATCAATACACTCACACACTGTACATTGGTGCCGCTCACAGAAATGTGCCAACCCAAGGATTTATATCTGCTGCACATAAGGTCAGTACCCTGAAAGTGTCATGAGTAAAATACATGTGTGTATGTGAGTCTTTTTCAGTAGTGAAGATGTATCCTCCAGAAAACCTACTTCTTTGATCTCTATGTATTCCCCCTCAATTCTGTGCTCTGTCAGCACAAACTACTGAGTGCACCTGAAAGCACACACATGGTTCAACACGCAGGGAAAATAATTGAAAACCCTACCTCGTAAGCATTCTTGATATTGAGCGGCTGTCCGGTGGCGGCTACATGTCCCACAATGCCCTTGTTCCACTCCAGCCGGATGTAGCTGCTGGAGGACTCCTCCAGCGTGGACCCCTCTGCCACATCGAACAGACGGCTGACCAGGAACTTCCTGTTGGAGCTGTCCTCGCCCACCTGGGACCAGAAACAGAAACAGCAGGACTCATCAAAACAAGGAAATATATTATTGTGCTCCTTTGTATTTGATAACACTCCAAACACAGCAAGAAAGCAAACAAAGACTCTTAATTTCATGCCAGATAACAAGTTGATATGGGTTATAGTAATATTCACAACAACAAATCTTATGAGAGTGTGTCAGCAAGAATTCCATTCCCAAGACAATGTAAAAGTAAACAATATACAGTATATATATATATATATATATATACCGCTTTATAATTATTATTTGTACTGGCTGCTAGCTCTTAGTTAGGCTATTTAACTACTGTAACACAATCCGTAAAACACTGTGCAAGCACTACTGTTATCTGGCTGCTATCACACTTTTTCTACATTACATTACATTACATTACATTACATTACATTATATTACATTGCATTTAGCTGAGGCTTTTATCCAAAGCGACTTACAATAAGTGCATTCGACCAAGAAGATACAAACTTGAAGAAAACAGAATCATATAAGTACATCAGGTTTCATAGAGCCAAAACATTTCAAGTGCTACTCAACTGGCTTTAGATAAGCTAGTCCTTTATTAATAATTCTTTGTTAGTAATTCTATCGCTCGAAGTGGAGTCGAAAGAGATGAGTTTTCAGTCTGCGCCAGAACATGTGTGAGCTTTCGGCTGTCCTGATTTCAATGGGGAGCTCATTCCACCATTTTGGAGCCAGGATAGCAAACCCACGTGTTTTACTCTTATTTTATTTGACTTTTTTTTTTAAATATTGTTACTGTACTTCTTGTTATCCACCTTTCATCAATATACTTTTGTAAATTGTACTTTGTGTAATTGATATCTCTAATATGTTATGCGGGCCTCTTAACAATGTCAATTTCTGTGGGACTAATAAAGACATTAAGATTCTGATACAGTCAATTAGAGCTGAACAAGTCAACACCTCTATGTTGAAAATGGATCAAATTAAAACTGTGTGTAATGTAAAGGTCGCTCACAGTGAGAAATCCTTAGAATAATATTAACTCATTCCATTCCAGCATTCTCGTGGATCTTTCTGAAGGCCTCTAAGCTTTTTTGAGTCTGCACATCATGTAAAATATGCACAAAGGCAAAACAATAGCTGGCATGATAGAGTGGCACTTCAATGACAGAATGACACCTACACTGTATGGTAAAACACTTTTATAGACTCTGAATAACTGGAGCTTTGCACATCAGCAGTTTGAGCGAAAGCTGAGATGTGAACATGTTGGTGAGTGTAAGCACTTTTTAAGAGATGTTTCACAGCACACATAGAGGCCTGTCTCACTCCCCCTGCTCCGGCTGATCACAGTGCTCTAGGTCAGGGGTGTCCAAACTGCGGCCTGGGGGCCAACTGTGGCCCGTGGTCCATTTTTAATTGGCCTGCAGCAAATTCTTAAAGTATAATGGAACATGGCCCAAACCTGAAACCAGTGCTTGTCTTATATTGTACTTCTTGAATAGTGTATATGCCAGCCCTTCGTATATTTTTCTGTATGTGACCCTCAGTGAAAAAGGTTTGGACCCCCCTGCTGCTGCAGTTAGATAACAGTTAGAAAACAGTAGTTTGTGTTCCTACCAGAAACAGGGAGTAGCGGTCTGCAGCGATCAGCTCGTTGATGTGGAGGAAGATCTTGTGACAGAGTGCTGTCACGTCCAGATGACTGGACACGTCCATCACCAGCTCCAGCAGCCTGGCGCAGCGGTCACTTCCTGCCCCGCTGCCCCCCCCACCGATACCCCCCTCGCCCATCACAGAGCCGCGCAGAGGGACCGTCTCCCGGTCGGCGTCGCTCAGGAACGTCAGAGAGCCCTCGGCGTCTTTCACCACGATGGGTCTGAGCGGGCGGTCGAACTCTGACGCTGATATCTTGCGGGTGGGGGTGCCAGGGGCCGGGCTGGGGATGGGGGACGGGCAGCGGCTGTCCTGGAGTGTAGGTGGGAGAATGGTGGAGGCAGAGGGGGGGCCGGAGTGCTGCTGTGGAGGATTCTCTTTGCAGGAAGACTGCTGGATGGAGTGAACTCGCTCAGAGAACCAGGCGTTCACCATCTCCCTGCAGCACAGGACACACACTGAGACTGGGACAAACATCTGGATCTGACAGAGGATAGTACCACCTAAAACATGAGATACGACTAACAGTATATTATTTAACAATTGACCTTCATTACATAATAACTATTTACACCAACATACACAAACATTGTAATTCCTGACAGTTGGAACATAACATTAAAGGTAGGGTAGGTAATTCACTTCAGATACACTTGTTGTTATATTCCATGGAATGCTCTTAACATCCCGATAGCAATGAATATCTGAAGTGCTTTGACAAAAAATCCATAAAAAAATATCATCTGTGGAAGCCGTAATACTGTAAAAAGCACGACCAATCATTTTAGCCGGCCCGGCTAAAATAACTGGATGGCCTACCTGCCTGTCAGCCTTCCATCTGTGCACAAACTTATCTCGTGCCCTCATTGGTCATGTGCGCGTTCGTGTGTGTTGGAGGAGGGGCTCTGTAAGGAAGTCTGAAGGAAGGGGCAGATTTTTTTCGGCTGCGTACTTTCAAATTCTAGCGCACTCGAGGTGGTTTCTCCATTCTTACCTACCCTACCTTTAAACATATGACTAAATACACAATCAGAATAGAGTCTTCCCACAGAGGGGAGAAGTGAAGATGGATACAAAAAATAAAACACTATTAGATAAAGGTCGTGCACATAATATTTAAAATGAAAAATTACAAGTAACATTCGTAAAAAAAAAAATCCAATAATAGAACACACACTGGTTGACAGGTAGACTATTGTTATCGTTTAAAGTTACTCCTGAAATCCCACAAATGCACATGATCTGTTTCTGTACCAAAACAAAAGAGACATCTATCCAGTGTGTTGATCTTTTATGGTGCAATTTGCAAAGGAAAGGCAAACAAAGAGAAAAAACGAATTACAACTAATTACAAGATGACGTAATTTTAAAAATGACCTCATACTGGTCAAAAACAATGTAGAAACGTGATGAAAACATGACATTTATGTTTGCTGGTGTATGACCACATTGTAAGGTGGGTAATAAGCATTAGCTCGCCACATAGAGGGACATAGAGTTCAAATGATATTTGTTCTGCTTTATTAATGCTCTGAATGCCACATATATCGAACCTTCAAATGTAGCTTTAGACCAAAGATGAACCCATTGTTAGCTAAGTAAAACAAATAAAGCAGGGTTAGGAAACGTTTTGAAAATGCTTACGTAAAGTATTTGCTGAAAAATGTAAACTTTACAAATTAAAATTTGCCATGATTTAAATAAAAATGGCCCTGATTGCTGGAGAGGAAGGTACATACTTTGATGGGCTCATCCATCAACATCATCCTTCCCTGGTGGAGGGACATATTTGTGTTTTGCCCTACTGGTTAAGAACATTATGGAATATGCATCCAAACATTGGACAGATGACCAGAGGGAGTTTTAGTTAAATGAAACTGTGTGTCTGTGTGTGTGTGTGTGTGTGTGTGTGTGTGTGTGTGTGTGTGTGTGTGTGTGTGTGTGTGTGTGTGTGTGTGTGTGTGTGTGTGTGTGTGTGTGTGTGTGTGTGTGTGTGTGTGTGTGTGTGTGTGTGTGTGTGTGTGTGTGTGTGCGTGCGTGCGAAGAGTAAATTGGATGTGATTAGTGAGAAGCTCTCTAATCAGCCGACACATTGTCTAATCAACTTGGAGAACACAAACACACAAACACACAAACGCACACACACATTTTAAAGCTTGCTCTTCTATTTGGCATGTGCCGGCCGTTGAATCCACCCTGATATGTTGGCCCTGAGCCAGGCAAATAAAACTACAAGAGCTGTTATCTGCCTGTCAGGGCCATCAGGCGGAATCCTCCTTACTCCCCCCCAGCCTTATGTATCCAGGGGGGGTGTGGCTGAATCAATACTTCTCTAAGAAATGCTTCTCAACCAGAACAACTGATGCGTACAAACGATTTGCACTGACACACTTTTTTGTGTTTCTTTCATGCGGTCAGGAAGAGCGGTGGAGGAAACATGTCCTCTTACAATGCTCTTTATGGCAATGTATTTGGGGATGGAGATGGGATTGAGGTAATGTGTGTTGCTAAACTAAGTGAAGTTGCCATGGCAGTTAAAGTGGATGAATGGGTCTGAAGAAGTATGTCACTCAAACAAACACAGAGCTAATGTGTCCTGATGAAGAGCTGCCAGGAAGATGATATGCCAAGATATGACTGCTGCAAAAAAATGCCTAACACAGCTGCTGCTGCTGCCAGAGAAAGACTGCTTTGGAATCTTTGTTTGCGTAAGAAATTAAACGGCTCATTTGCTCTGAACCACGCTCTCTTAGGTCTTAGGCTGAAGCAGAAAATAAGTGATTTAAATTAAGACACAGGCACCATGAGGAAGGATTGTATAATTATCACCAAGGATCTATCCAACAGTGCACACTGAGAATTAAACAGAATCCCTGGCAGCAGTAAAGGTTAATGATTTAAGGGCGCTGGGCAGATCTCACAGCTCTCACTGATTGTGAAGTGGATGATGAGATCAATAAAAGAGCTGGGAGAGAGAGGCCATGTTTATCAGAGAGCATTACAGGAGCTCTGCAGGTATCAGACACAAGGATCAGAGTGTACCTGAACGCAGCACATGATTGTTGGATATGACCAGGTTTTAGATCCTTCCTGACTATAAAGGAGAGTTCAAATAAAGAGGAAAATATTTCTTTAAGTAAGATGGGATATTTAGAACATACATCTTGTATTTTGAACTATATTTACCAGAATCAGGAAATGCCACAAATGCTCAAAAGTGTTCTGTTTTCTGATGTTAGTGGTGATTTTCCAATAAAAATGTGAAATGGTTTAATCTGAGATACAACTTTCCAAGAGTCTTTGACTCAACTAGATACTTTTAGATGCAGTGTCTAAAATCAAGACCCTGCATCACTGCTTGTTACTTCCTAAGTGTCTAGGTCTTATATCCAGTGTAAAGACATATTCTGACTTGATATTACACAAAAGTACATGGCAAGACTTCGAATCTTTGCCGTTCCTGATTGGCTATGGGGCCGCGCACCAAAAGCAAACTGATGGTGGCTGTTTTTCTGCAAAGATGTTCACGAGTAAGCGCTCTCTCTTACGCACAGAAACTAAATACACCAAGTTTAAGGTCCCACCACCCCCCACCCCCCTTTACCTTGACGCCTTCCTGATAAAGTAGGAGTGCGAGAACTCCAGGTGGTCGTCCAGCCACGCTTCCATCCTCTCGCTTTCCGGGGAGCAGCAGTCCTCCATGGCGCAAAGGCGACCGCAGAGTGCCGCTGAGAGCTCCTGTTACCGGCTACATATACACACGGGAGACCCGGTACCGAATAAAAGGGGGAAAGCTGCTCCGTACCGGGGAGTGTGCGCGCTCCGGTCATACAGCGGGACTGAGCGCGCTCCGGTCATACAGCGGGACTGTGCGCGCAGGGAGGAGAGAGAGAGAGCACACCCCCTGTCTTTCACCTTTATCATAAAGAGTGCTGCAAATACACCATCCACACGAGGCACACCTACTGTATAACATTCCGATTCTTACCTCTATAAAAAAAGATACACATATTTATAATCGTTATATTTTCGACCTTCTCTTACAACTTATTTCCTTAATGTTCGCAATCGCACCACCAGTCACCAAAGCTAATTCCTTGTAGCCTATGTGTAAAGGTACCTGGCAATAAACTCCATTCTGATTCTGATTTAATGTAGGCCTACTTTAGTGTCATATATTATTACATTTGTGTAGCATAGCAGATATAGGAAGAAATAATGATGATTATTGACCGATTCACACTTTTATTTATTAAAAGCATTGAACTGCCGGCATATTTTATTCTTATTTGATCTTATTTTATGTTATTTTTATTATTATTAGCCCATGTGTACTATCTGTGTTTCTGTCTTATTCTGTTGCTGCTATAACACCTGAATTTCCCTACGGGGATCAATCAAGGTCCATCTGATCTCATCTTATAAAGAGTTACTTATAAGTGCACATACTTTAGTGTAATCTCAGACGGTCAACAAAAAATGGTTAAAATCAAGACAGCAGGATCTAAGATATCCTGGCTTTAAGTGTGTCAGACTGGAAATACATTGGATCATACATTTCATTGTATCTTTGTTGGACTTGTTGTGGTAAATACCTTAGTTAGGCATAGACTGTATATATAAAGGTTTTAGGCCACCGCTCATGCAAGCTGTTTTTATGCGTGAAATTAGTGGAGTGCCCCTTTACAGAAAATATTCAGTGTAATTGTACATTTACGTTCACATGAAGGGCTCCATCCAATTGTTTACATTGTGATACAAGTTATGGCGGTAAAGAGGGTAGGATGTAGCTTTATATATCATCAAATTCCTGTCTTGTTGCTCTTATTCCGTCCCTTCGTAAAAGAACAGCCTACTTAAGGACCAAATAAAATAACCATTAGCAATCTCTGGGAACATATTTTGAGAGGTTTAGGAGGAGGTTCCCACACGGTTATAACATGACATTCCATTTCCCAGGAAAAACATCTATTGGGGTGGAAGATAAACAGAATGTTAGTATCATGGTTCATCTTATATTTTAATAAAACAATGCATTAAAACCATATCATCTTCTATAGAAGCATCTAAGGGAAATATTAGTTTCCCGGGAATGTTTACAGAACTTTGTTACGCTCAAACATTCTAGGAAAGTCCGAGGGAATAATTAAACAAAGTATAATATTTCTAATGAAACAAAGTAGAGCATTTCTGGAACCCTGGTGTGATATTACAGGAGATGACAAAGACGTTGAGGAAGGCTATGAAAATATCCTCTGTATCAAAAATCTCAACAGTGAATATAAAGGGCATACACACACCCCATGATCAACATCAGGGCTGGTACGTTTAGAGTTTTTTACGTTGGCTTTTTACACCATGATTCACATTTATCATCCCCAGGGAATAAGACACACATTTAATTCATTTCTGTTCATATGCTTGGTTTACACAATAATCCTTTAGAGAGTTTTTAGCCACATCTGCAGTAAATCAATTCCTCAGAAAGCTAGTTCCTTTTTCACACTCAAACAAAAAAAGGAAAATATAAAATGTGTTGTCAGGATTTTTGAGAGAACTTTTGGGAAAAACACTGAAGACTTTTCTTACTTTAATATCGGTACAAATAATCAACTTTTAAACCTTCAACAGCAGACACGGGTTGTATTCAAGGGGGATGTAATTGAGGTAATTGAAACAGTTCCTTTATGAGAGCAAACCCACCACAAGTCAATCCTTTATTAATTTATCTGACCTTATTTAGCTGGTACACCGTAATGAAAAAATACCATCAATCCCAGCAGTAATGAACTGTTCGATGACTGTGAATCACAGCTGGAAGAGTGCAGGTTTGTATTGATGAAGTGTAATGGCTTTCACTCTGTGTCTGCTCTCCAGTGTCCCCCCAGCTGGACACACCGCCCCCCCCGCTGGTGTTACCTTACCAGCAGATGGTGGCTGCTCGTCCCTGGGGGAACCCACCAGCAGCATCCCAACCCCCCCACAGCAGAGAGCTTATCAGAGGAAGGGAAGAAGGGGGACACCCAGACAAACACACCTTCTTTGCTCTTGGTTTTATCGGTCTGTGTGTACTTTCTAACCTTTAAATGTCTCATTATAGTGTGTGTCATTGTTACATTTGATAGGCCTGTATTGCTTGGACATGTTTTAATCTGTGTATGTTGCTTAGGACAAGGCAAGAGGACACCCTAACCATTTTGTCACTTTTCAAATCATTTACTGACGTCCATCTCTTGTGAACATGTGTAGTCTACTTTTCTGTTCTGTCCTGCCCTTAATATGGAAATACTTTATGGAAAACAGATGCAAAGTATGTAAAAATAGAAAGAGTAGAGATGTCCAGCACAGCCATCAAGATAGCCTTTGCGCTCATTTGGTGTGGGTTTAGCAGACTCTCTATGTAGTTGCCAATGGTTATCTCAAATAATCTCCTGCTTCCTCGGGCGGTTCTGCGGGGCGGGTCCAGTTCCAGCACCCGCAGGGCCAGGCCAGGCGATCCCGACGGGCCTCTGCCCCAGCTCTGCGTCAGCAGAGGGCTGCGGGATGGGGTGCACCGTCCTCCTGGAGATGACGGGCGGTGGGAGGAAGCGTCCCGGCGGAGAGGGCTCTCTCCACCCAGGACGCGAGGGCAAACCCTGCCTCCTCCCTCTACGATTCCTCTGTGTTGATTTATGCCTTCAATAAAAATGATTGTATTTATCCCAGTCTAAGAGTCATTCTTTTCCACAATCCCACACTTCACCATAATGTTGTCTGTACAGATTCCCCACTCGCCGCCCCAGTTGTAACTCCAGTAAAGGAGGCAACCAGCGGGCGCGCGCACGTGATAAACCACAGGAAGTGCTATCAAAGCGCTATGCGAGTACAGGACCATACCTCACCAGCAGGCAGAATATCTGGGGGTTTTGCTCGATGCAGGCAGACTACGTGCCACCCTGACAGAAAGCAGAGGCATCCCTGCTTCGGGCAGTTTGCAGACTGCGTCAGGGGGCGACGGTGACAGCTTTGACCATCATGCAGACTTTGGGTCTCATGGCGGCTGCTCACTTCGTGGTGCCACTCGGACTGTTGCATACACGTCGCCTGCAGAGGTGCTTTATCGGCCTTCGTTTAGATCCCAAGAGGCACAAACGACGTCTGGTGACCATCCCTCAGTAGAGAGCAACCTCCGATTCTGGGGGGTCCCCGGAGCATCTGGGGGTCCCCGGAGCATCTGGGGGTCCCCGGAGCATCTGCGGAGGGGAGCTCCACTGGGGCGAGTGACCTCCTATATCACGGTCTTCACAGACTTATCAGTGACAGGATGGGGGGGGACCTGCCTGGAGAGAGCTATAGGTGGTGGGTGGCCTCTGACAGAGGCTCGGCACAGCAACCTCCTAGAGCTGCAAGCAGTGATCCTACAGCACTTCAAACCCTTAATACAGGGCAAACATGTGCTAGTGAGGAGCGACAACCGCACCACAGTGGCGTACATCAACAGGCAGGGCGGAGTTCGCTCCGTAGCCTTGTTGACCGCAGCAGAGAACCTGTGGTTGTGGGCTTCACAGAATGTGTTGTCTCTGAGGGCCCTGCACATCCCGGGACAGGAGAACGTGGGGTCCAACCTCATGTCAAGAGGCGGGCCCCTGCCAGACGAGTGGAGGCTTCACCCGGAGATGGTGAAGCAGGTCTGGACTCAGTTCGGGAGAGCAGAGGTGGACCTGTTCGCCAACCGGCACAACAGCCACTGTGCCCTGTGGTTCTCCCTGGCCCGGTGGGACAATCCGGCCTTGGGGGTGGACGCATTTGCACACGAGCCATGGCCAAGAAAGCTGCTTTATGCCTTTCCACCGCTGCATCTCATTCCCCCCCTCCTGGAGAGGGTGAGACGAGAACATCTGTCAGTCATCCTAGTGGCCCCAGGTCGCCGCTTGGCGCCGTGGTACGCGGAGGTGACACCATGATGGTGGGCCAGCCCTGGACGATTACTCAGGTCTGGGGGACGCTGTCTCAGGAAGCAGGTGCAATAGGGGCGTACCCACTCTGGGCCAACCTCTCCAGGCTTGGCTCCTGAGAGGGACAGGCTGAGACAGGTGGGGCTGTCTGACAACGTCATTCAGACTATCCAAGCAGCAAGAGCAGGATCCACCACAGCCTGTTACAGGCCGAAGTGGGCGGGGTTCCAGCGATGGTGTGAAGAAAGGAGTCTAGAGCCTCTATCATGTACGTTGGGCTCTATTATGTCCTACTTACAGTTACTGGTGGGCAGGGGGCTTGCTCATTCCACAATTAAGGTGTATGCAGCAGCCATTTCGTCCTGCCATGAGGGATTTGGCGGCAGGTCAGCCTTCAGTCAGCCGCTTATGTCGCGGTTTTTGCAGGGGGTCAGGAGGCAGCGCCCAGTAATGCACGCCTCCTCCCTGCAGTGGGACCTGCCGTTGGTGCTCGAGGCTCTGGTCACAGAACCATTTGAGCCTCTGGAGCTCTCCTCCCTGAAAGCACTGTCATGGAAGACAGCGTTGCTACTTGCCTTGACTTCGGCCAAGAGAGTGTCCGAGCTGACCGCTCTGTCGGTGTACCCAAGTTGTCTTTTGATCCGGGGTGACCGTAGCGGGGCGACACTCAGACCGAACCCCTCCTTTGCTCGCAAGAGCCTGAGGAGTTCGTTCAGAATATTCAGTTAGGTGGCTTTAATCTTCCACCCCATATTGGGGCCAGGGAGGCTAAACTGCACCTCCTCTGCCCAGTGCGTGCGCTAGCATGTTATGTAGAGCCCACGGCTGCCATTAGGCGCACTGAACAGCTGTTTGTGTGCTTTGGGGATGGTGTGGCTGGAAAAGCTCTCTCCAAGAGGCGCCTGACAGGATGGCTCTGCGAGTGCAGTCC